AGTATGGCATAATTGATAGGAAACACAATACTATTACATCTGATACAACAGCAAAAATTGCCAGTTATCATATTTGACCACAAAAATAGAAAAAAAATGTGAAAAAAGTGACTGGTTAGTGAAAAACAGAGAAAAAGGAAAAATCAAAAGAACCACACCATGATGCCATGAGGTTACTTAAAATCCACAATACATGGACTTCAATTGGAAGATTTTCTACAATATAAGAAAGGGTCAACCAAGGAAAAGAAAAGTCTGACATGGCTTTCTAATGAGGTCCAGGAACACTATTATTAAAAGTTAAGACAGTTTACGGTGTTTCAGGAAATAGAAAGTCTGTTATAATGAGAACAAAAAGGAAGATAGATTCTGGCAGAAAACAGTAAAGTGGTAATAAAAGCATGGTTTTTAAAAAGAATTCAAGGATATGGCCAAAAATAAAATAAACACTTCAAAAATGTATTTGAAGTAGAAAACTAGTCACAAAAGCAGCTGGATTGTTAGTCAGCAAAGGAAATTGTCTATGGAGATTGTAGAGAAAGTGAATGAATTTTTTGCATCTATTTTCACTACAAAAGATACAGGAGAGTTACTTAGAAAAAAACTTAATACAAGTGAAAAAAACTTAATACAAGTGAAGTCAAAAAAGAAAATGTTCTCTTGACAAAAAAGCTATGAAATAATGGTCTTCGTGAAAAAATGTTTTTCATCTTCCTTCAGTTCTTGAAGCTGCCCCTCATAGCTTAATTTACATAAGATAACTTCCCCATGGTGTATTACTTTAGTTAATATACTGTATGTTACCACACAGAATACCTCTTAACATAGATTACTGTTTCTGAACCAGTTGTAAGACATGTGGATTTCAACTTCCAGAATTTCCTAGTCAGCATGGCTCACTGTGGAATTCTGGGAATTGAAGTCCATATTTTAAACATGCCAAAGTTGAGGAACAGTGATCTATATTATTTACATTCATAATACAAGCTGTTACCAAACCAGGTATCTCTATACCGGGCCATTTCATTCTTTTTCCCAAGTGAAGAACTTCATTATATTTTATTCTGTTCTTTTATTTGATTTCATTTTAGGTTATATTTCTGCCTTCCCAAGTATTACCTACTTTTTCTTAAGTGAAGAACTTTGCAATTGTCTCCATTACATATTATTCTGCTATTTTCAGCTTATTTCATTTTCAATTGTACTTCTGTCTTCCCATATATTACCTACTCAAAGGGATAGTTTATCTGTAAAGTTCACATTTTATCTATATCACTGATGAAAGTAATAAAGGTCAGGACTCAACCCTACAGCACTGCCCTTGAGAACTTGTTCTAGTTTAATTAGAAGCCCCAGTGAGGGTTTTCAGACTATGGTTTTTGAGGGAGCTGTAGATCCAGTGGTGGGATTCAGCCAGTTCACACCACTTCGGGAGAACCGGTTGTTAACTTTCTGAGCAGTTTGGCAAACTGGTTGTTGGAAGAAATCATTTGGGCAGAGAACCGGTTGTTAAATTACTTGAATACCATCACTGTGTAGATCTATTGAATATATATATGCATTCAACAGATCCATTCAACTGACATCTAACTAGCTTGCAATCAGAATGATATCAGGTACTTTGTTCTTGAAAAATCCATGCTGACTCTAATAATCAGCACACTACTTTCAAGGTGCTTACAGATCAATAAATGCATAATGTACTTTAGAATCTCTCCAGGTATTGATGTCAGACTGACTGATTTGTAATGCACTGGATTCAATGTCCATGTTGAATATAGGAATACTTGCCCTCCTCCAGTTTTGTGGTAGTTCTCTAGGATTTCTAAAAGTTAATGAATAGTTTCAGTAAGTCTATCAATCTATGATACAATCCATCTGTCTCTGCAGATTTGAACTCATTCAAGTGAGAACACATTCCTTGAATATGAGCCTATCATGCTCCTTATACCCACTCTTCACAATTGCCCAGTCAAGACCTATTCTTTTCTCAGGGGAGACCAAACCCTATTTTTTCCTTGTTACCTGCCTCATCCTACTTGCTTCATCTTAACTGACCAGCATATATACCGATATACTCTGTGTGTGTCTGTCTCTTTGGTTCTCAGCATCCTTCACTAACTTCAGTATATGCTGAGCTTTTAGCTTTCATAATGCTTTTGCTACACCCCTGGCCTACTTAAATGAACCATCTTTACAAATATACATTATCTTTTTTCATCTCATATAAATATCCTTTTTGTTTTTGAAATTGACTCCAGGCTCTTTGCAAAACAATATTGGTATCTTTTGCTGTGCTGACCTCTTTTTTCCCCCTCATAAGAATTGTTTGCAGTTGTGCTTTTAATATATGCTTGTTAAGGAATGCCTATCTTTTTGGCACTAGGCTGTCCTTTTAAGGAAGATGTATTATTTACATATTGTAGCCCTAAATATATTACTTTCTGCTTTCTTGAAGTACAAGGGATGACTCTGACTATAATTAGTTTCTTGTAACAACAAGAATTCCAGAATTATATGTTTATTTTCCCAGAAATTCCCACTATCTGCTCTTGGTCTATTATTTTTCTCATTTCTTGGGGTCTAGTAATTTCAGCCAATCCTCTCTTGTTTTCCTCTGTCTCTGAGGGAGAAAGTTATCAGCCATGCAAATCAGGTATTTCCTAACAGGACCAATGTCTAGCAGAGATATTCCCCAACAGATGTCAGAAAAATTAATTTCTCCCAAAATACTATTTCAGGACTTTTTGATAGAGCTGCTGTATACTATTGGAAAACACCATCCCTATCTTCTTAATAGATGGTTGTAATAGGCATCTGAAACAGTACTATCTTTATTTAATCTTCCACTTCATGCTCTCAGCTGTCACCAAATTCATTATTTTGGATTTCTGTGAAGGAGTGGACATTTCTATCATACAGAGAAACTCCTCATCCCTTTCTTTATTTTTGTTCTTTTGAGCAAATGGTATCTTTCAGTTGCTGTATTCCTGTCAGAAGAATCATCCTATTAGATGAGATCCAGTTTGGTGTAGTGGAAAAAATGCTGGACTAGAAACTAGGAAACCAAAAGTTCTAGTTTATTTATTTGTTTTTAATCATACTTCTGTTATTTTTATAAAAAATTCAAGGTGGTGGACATATATAATACACTTTTCTCCTATTTTCCCCACACAATCCTGTGAATTGGGTTGGGAGTGATTGGTCCAAGGTCACCTAGTTATCTTTCATGCCTAAGGTATGACTAGAACTCCCATTCTCCTGGTTTCCAGATGAGTTGGGACAGTCACTCTCTCTCAGCCCAACTGATTTTACAGACTTTTTGTTGTTGGAAACTAAGAGGTGGGAGAATTATGTATATTGCCTTGAGTCATACAAAGTCTAAAAAGATACATACCCTGTTTCCCCGAAAATAAGTCATCCCCTGATAATAAGCCCAATCGGACTTTTGAGCGCATGCACTAAAATAAGCCCCCCCTCACCCAAAAATAAGCCCTCCCTGAAAATATTTAAACACATGCACAGCCGGTCGCTGCCATGATATTGTATAAACTGGGATTTAATCTGTCTGAGCTATCACAGTAGATCCACTCCTACTTGACAGACTCAGAAATAAACATTGAGTAATTACTCCTCTGTTAACTGAGAGCAAGCTTAAGCTGGAATAAGCAACCTATATACAATAAGACACCCCTACGTCCTAGCATTTCATTTGTGGCCCAAAAACATCCGAAACTGTCTTTCTGTCTATGGATCCTGAAAGAAGACACATATTTTCCTGGGCTCACTTGTTAGTACAGCATTATTCTGTCTATCAGGATAACAAATGGCAGAAGGTATTGGGTGATCAAGTCTAATTTTGTCCTCAACTCAGCTTGAACTAAGACTGAAAAAAGGGCAAGACATCAATAAAAGTCACAGTGGATTGCATATAATAGATTGCAGCCAACTCTATTGAGATTCGACATGCTTGGTCCATAATGTGCTTTCTTTAGATGACTGTCTTCATGTTCCTGATGTGACGTTGGAAGATAATGATTTTCTAAAGATTTCTAAAGGCTACCTCTTGGAGGAAAGATTTAAACTATTTTTCCTGCAGGCAGGATTGACTGTTAATCATTGTTCCCAAGTATTTTTCACAGAGATAACATAGTGATAGCAAACGGTCTAAAAATTTATCAGAAAGAAATGTAGAACTGAAATGTAAAAGCAACTATTTTATAACATACATCAAAGGGAGATAGCATAAAGAACTAAAGCATCGCAAAGCACTCAGTGTTATGCTGCTGTGAAAATATATCGGTCTAATTCTGAGCACCGCTAAAGTAGAAATCAGGGCAGAGAAGTGATTAATAATGAATTCTGATTCTTTTAATTTCTGCTTATATTTTAGAAAGAAGGTTATATAGTTCTGATGCTCTCATAATATTGTATACTTTTTATAATTTGTATAACGACTGCTTTTGAAGCCCTTTTTTATAGAGTAAATCTCAAGGGCCACTAAAGACCTTTTTACAGTTTGAGAAGAGAATAAGCCTTTAACCAGTAGTTAAATAACAATCTCTCATATTCTTTTCAAGCCAAATACTTTGCTGTTTTATAGGAGAAAAGAAATTAACACATACACACACTTGTATCTTATGTGATATGGGCATCATAAAGGTGCTATGTTTTGCAATTTTTCTTTCTAATGATCTATACTCTTTTCCATACTGATTCTGCTACAGTAATTTAGCTCTCTAAATTACTAAATTTCAATTACACAAGAGTAATGGGTTCTGGATTTTGTATGCATTCCTTATGATAGTAATAGCAATAGCACTTAAACTTATATACTGCTTCACAATGCTTTACAGCCCTCTCTAAGTGGTTTACAGAGTCAGCATATTGCCCCCAACAGTCTAGGTCCTCATTTTACCATCCTTGGAAGGATGGAAGACTTGAGCCAGTAAGATTCAAACTGCCAAATTGCTGGCAGCCGACAGTTAGCAGAAGTAGCCTGCAGTACTGCATTCTAACCACTGCGCTCAGAGGTAGGTTTCAACAGGTTTTGACCAATTCTGGAGAACCGGTAGCAGAAATTTTGAATAGTTCAGAGAACCGGTAAATACCACCCCTGACTGGCCCCATCCCCATCTTTTCTCTGCCTCCCGAGTCCCAGCTGATCGGGAGGAAATGGGGATTTTGCAGTAACCTTCCCCTGGATTGTGGAAGGAATGGAGATTTTACAGTATCCTTCCCCTGGAGTGGGGTGGGAGTGGAGATTTTACCGTATCCTTCCCCTGCCATCCCCACCAAGCCACACCCATAGAACCGGTAGTAAAAAATTTTGAAACCCACCACTGACTGCGCTACCGCGGCTATGATAATGATAATGGTTTGAGGTATTTTGATTCAAAAAGTTTTGCACCATGTACCATTTGAGCTAATTGGGCAACAAAAAACCAGGAGAGTTTTAGTAGTAAATAGATTTAAGGTTTTCAAATTTTGACCTACAAACCTAGTTTTATTTTTGATTAAATACAAGTTCGTAACCCCATTTTCTAGAAATAAGATATATTTATTACTTCTGGGACAAGTAAGTTCCTTGTTCCATATTAGACACCTCATTCAAAAAAGAAAAAAACTTTCTTTAGAAGGAAAGAATTGTAGAAATATATTTATTCCCTCCCCCTTGCTAAGAGCAAGCACATCACTGGTCCTTACTCAAGAAAATATTTTGAAGCTTAATGATAGGATTAAATTGATGCATTAGTAGCTCTATTTAATGAAGGATTTATATTAGTGTGTGGGTGTGGGTGTGTGTGGTACTGTATTAGTCTGGAGTATTGCCAAGTTGATTAGAGTACATGTGCTGATTTCAAGACTTTTCAAATAATTAACAATATACTCGTCTTATAATGTATTTGTTCTGGGATAGAAATAGCCCAGGCAGGACACAAACAATGCCTTTGGTGAATAATCATGTTTATTAGCAATTGTGCTGTAAAAATAAACGTAAATTGACAGTGAGGTGCATGGTTATTTACAGTATATTTCTATTTCTTCTGTATTTTTATTCTCACATATCTGCTATCTTGCTAAGTGCAGTTATTGTTATATTTGCACTTAATTCTGAGTCCTCTTCTTTACATATCTCCTATGCACATTCAGCAGGTGCTAGTAGGTAATGCCACCAGGTCTATTCTACTGGTCTTTCTTGAAGTTGTTCTCTCTCTCTCTCTCAGCTGGCGAATAGTGATTTTCTTGGTAGCCTTCAGAGTATGTTTTGAACTCATTATTGCTGTTCTTCTTCTTCTTTAACTGGCACTGCTCTCTGAAACTCCGACCCCATCTGTAAATACAACTGGAAAGATGCCAGCTGCACTTTGATGGTGGGGGATAAGGGGAAAAAAAACCCCTACCCTTTTCTCTGCTTTATTTATTTATTTATTTATTTATTTTTATTTGTATGCCGCCCTATCTCCATAGGACTCAGGGTGGCTCACAACAATTAAAATCAAACCAGATAAAAACATATTAAAATACAAATTAAACGTATGTTAAAACTCATTAAAATAATCAAACCCCATCAGTCCAGGCTGGGCAATTTAAACAGCCATGTCTTTAGTTTGCGGCGGAAAGTGCGAAGGTCAGGGGCCAACCGAAGCCCCAGGGGGAGTTGATTCCAAAGGGTGGGCGCGCCCACAGAGAAAGCTCTACCTCTGGAGGCCGCCAGCCGACATTGTCTAGCCGACAGCACCCTGAGTAGGCCCTCCCTGTGAGAACTCACCGGGCGATGGGAAGCTGTTGCTGGTTGCAGACGGTCCGACAAATATCCTGGGCCTAAGCCATGTAGGGCTTTATAGGTCATCACCAGCAACTTGAATCTCACCTGGAGGGCAACTGGGAACCAATGCAAGTCACGCAGGAGAGGTGTAACATGGGAGTATCGGGACCCTCCCATCACAACCCGCGCGGCCGCATTCTGTACCAGCTGAAGCCTCTGAGTGGTCTTCAAGGGCAGCCCCAAGTAGATAGCATTGCAGAAGTCAATACAGGAGGTGACTAGCGCATGAGTAACTGTGCGTAGGGCATCTCGGTCCAAATAGGGGCGCAACTGGCGCACCAGGCAAACCTGGGCAAACGCCCCCTGGTCACAGCTGTTATATGATCTTTTAAACTCAACCGTGAGTCCAGGACGACACTCAAGTTGCGTGCCCTGTATACAAGGGGCAAAACTTCACTCCCTATAGTCAAAGATGAAACCTCTCTATCGGACCGAGATGCCGGTACCCACAGTCACTCGGTCTTGGCAGGGTTGAGTTGAAGCCTGTTCCTCCCCATCCAGACCCGTACCGATTCCAGGCAACGGGACATCACGTTGAGGGCATCACTGGGCTGATTCGGGGTGGATATAAAAAACTGGGTATCATCAGCATACTGATGATACCTCACCCCGAAACCACGGATGATCTCTCCCAGCGGTTTCATATAAATGTTGAACAGAAGGGGTGAGAGGACCGACCCCTGGGGTACCCCACAAGTGAGGGGCCTCATGGTCGACCTCTGCCCCCACCAACTCCACTTGCGTACGACCTGAGAGGTAAGAGGAGAACCACCGCAAAATGGTGGTTCTCCCACTCCCAACCCCTCGAGGCATCGCAGCAAGATACCATGGTCAATGGTATCAAAAGCCGCTGAAAGATCTAATAGGACCAGAACAGAGGAGTAACCTCTGTCCCGAGCCCTCCAGAGATCATCCACCAGCACGACCAATGCCGTCTCCATGCTGTATCCGGGCCTGAAACCCGATTGGAATGGATCAAGGTAATCCGCTTCATCCAGGGCCACCGGGAGCTGACGTATTTTCATCCCCTCCTGGGTGCAGCCTGTCTGCTAAGCTTCTTGTCCCTCCATGGCAATTCTTCAAAGTTTCTTCTTGTTCTAGCACTACCTTTCACAATTCAATATCTGGGGTAATCCCAAGATTAGTCAGAAATAATTTCATAGGCTTTGTAGATACTCTGCTACAAATTACTTTCCATCTAACTTGTTTCTGCTCTTGATTTTTTTTCTCCAGCCGTTCTTTTCTTTTACCTTCTTTTTCTGATCAGACATCACAAAAGGCCCATATCTAAATCTTAAGTACTCTCCCCTCCAATGTGGCCAAGCCCTGCAAATGACCTGAAAAACTGGGCAGAGAGCCTCAATGCCTCAGCTCCCTCCCCGATAATTCTACACACTTATGTTAACCTTGAACATAGGACTTTGCTTTCTTATTATAATCCTACGTGGTGACAGGGCTTACTGCATACAGATATTGGGGTTCTCACAAATGCCTCCAAATCTAGGATTTTATTTTTAGTACTATTGTTTCTTACAAGAATCCCAGTGTGACTATTTTCAAATACATATCTAAAAAGATGTATGATGGCATTGGAAGTATATTTCCCAAAAGGAGATATGAGTTGTAAGCAAGTTGAACTATGGCTTGTTTTAGCTCCCTATAGATGCCATCTGGATTATTGCACATTATTTTTTACATTATATTTTTAGACTTCTCATTAACCTCCTTTTCTCAAGGTTGTCTCAGACATGATGCTAGTTTACTGTACGTCTCAGTGTTCCCTGAGCAATCTGACAGAGAAATGACAACTGAACAATGTTTGATGGGCTAAATGCCAGGAGTATTTTGTTTATTTTCCAATAACTTTCAGCCTTCTTAATTTTAAATTTTCCTGTGATTTAATTCCAAGTGACAACCCTAAGGAATTCTCAGTGATAAAAAGTTGATTCGTCTCCTTCAAGCCCTTCATCCAAATAGAATAGAATAGAATAGAATAGAATAGAATAGAATAGAATAGAATTCTTTATTGGCCAAGTGTGATCGGACACACAAGGAATTTGTCTTGGTGCATACGCTCTCAGTATACATAAAAGAAAAGATACATTCATCAAGAATCTTAAGGTACAACACTTAATGATAGTTATAGGGAAACAGTCAATATAAATCTTAAGGATACCAGTTTTGAGAATCAGATGCTCTCCATGGTATATTTCCCTTGAACTGTCACTACCCAGAGACAAAGGTGTATTAACTACACTCTTACCATGCAACTCTTCTTTTTCACTTAGTTATTAATTCAATTATTGACATCCTCTCTGTTATCTCTCATCTCATAATGGGAGTGCAATATTGAATAGGTATGCACTTATAAATACCTCACTTCTCTAAAGATAGTATTTTTTATATTTGGCTATATATTATTACTACAGACCCTGTTTGGTTTTAATTAAGGCAGAGTTGAGAGCCAGTTTGGTGGTGGTTAAGGCACCAGGCCAGAAAATAGAAGACCATGAATTCAAATCTCATCTCAGTCATGAAAGCCAGCTGTATGACCTTGGGCTAATCACTCTTCTCTCAGTCCAAATCCATCTCACAGGGTTGTTGCGGTGAAAATAAGAAGAGGATAAATTTGCTACTTTATTTGTAAAAATAATAAAGACAGGAAACAAATAAATAAATTCCTCTCTCTGGAACTACTTCATGGTAGTTTTTTCCTCTGTTAATGACCAGTATGTGTAGCACTCTTGCACCTTTTCCTGTGATGTTTTACTTTGCTGGACCTCTATACTATTTTTTTCTCCTTGAATTGTCTACTTGCTCTGAAGAAAAAACACCTTCTTTCTTTTGATTGCTGCAGATCTCCGTTTGCCCACTTGCTTGCAAACAAGCACCTAAAGGACTCTCAGACTGAGAGGAACAAACTCTAAGCAGGCTTTCATGTGTTTTGCACTGAGGAGAGGCTTCCGTCTAGCAACTTTTCTATAAAGCCCAGATTGGTGGATGGCTGCAGTGATGGCTGTCCTTCTGGAACTGTGTCTCATCTCCACACAAGATCTCTGGAGCTCATTCAGAGTGACCATCGGGTTCTTGATCATTTTTCTTCTTAAGGTCCTTCTCCCCCAATTCCTCAGTTTGACCAGGTGACCAGCTCTTGGAAGAGTCCTGGTTATGCAAAACTTCTTCATTTGAGAATTAGAATTATGGAGGCCACTGTGCTCTTAGGAACCTTTAGTGCAGCAGAAATTTTATTGTAGCCTTCCCCAGATCTGTGTCTTGCAATAATCCTGTCTCTGAGCTCTGCAGACAGTTTCTTTGATCTCATGGCTTTTGCTCCGCTACAGTATGCATTGTCAGTTGTGACGCCTTCTACAGAGAGGTGTGCGCCTTTCCAAATCATGTCCAACCAATTTAATTTACCACAGGTTGACTCCATTCAAGGTGCAGAAATGTCAGCAATGATCAAGAGACATGGGAGGCACTAGAGCTAAGTTTCACCTGTTGTTGCAAAGGGCCTGAATACTTATGCCAATGTGATATTTGAGTTTTTTCTTTTTAATAAATTTACAGACATTTCTAAAATTCTGTTTTCACTTTGTCATTATGGAGTACTGAATGTAGATTAATGAGAGAAAAAATGAATTTCAACAACTGTAGAATCAAGCTGCAGTACAACAAAATTGACAAAAGTGAAGGAGGTCTGAATACTTTCTGAATGCACTGTATATCAAGTTTGTTGCTTTATTGGCAACTCTGCTGTGCTGAAGCTGAGGAACAGTCCCAAATGGGAAGGAAAGAGAGCAGTACTGGTGCCTGTAATTATGCCAAGTGGCCTCATCTTCCTCATACATATTTTCTGGTAGAGTGAGTGCAACCCAGGTCCCTTCTATTTAAACTTCATCAACTTCCAGGCCTTGGGAAGCATCTCTTCTATGTTATGGCCTCCAACCTTCTTGAAAATCATTCACCCAGGGATAAGAATTACATCCTTTATCCTAAGATTCCAGAAAGTTCTTGAAACTTGGTTTTGGTCCCAAGCATGTGATTGATATATTACTTTGGCCAAGCTGGATGCATTCCCTTCTTCTCCTATTGAATTCCTATTTGAATTGCTCAAATCTTTCCAGGCTGCCCAATTTTGCATGCTTATATTTAGACCCATTCTCTCATTGGGTCTGGATTTTTTTTTTTTTATATATAACATCATTGTAACTTGTGTTATTTCTACCTGACTGCTGGCCTTAGGACTGTAATAAATATTTGATTTGATTTGATTTCAATAGAAGTGATGTTTTGTCACTTAGAGACTTTAGGCTTTCTTATTTCTTTATGAAACATACAGTATCTTCTGCTCCCCAACAGGGCAAACAGATTTTAAGAGTACATGGATTTGAACACCCAGGATGTTGGAGAAAATGCAGATTGAGGAATTTTCAAATAATATTACCTCCGCTAAGTTGTTTGACAATATCAATATTGCTGGCATATTTCTAAATTAAAGCCTTTTTTTGCAATTCATTTCTTTCTCCCTTTCCTCTTACTGTGGATCAAGGACCTAAATCTGTTAAGAGATTCAATATTTCATATCATTTTTAATGAAAAGCTATCACAATTATGGTATAGCATTAAATAACTGTGTGAATGACAGTTATCAAATGTACTTTAATCAGCTTTGTAGAATTGTATATATTCTAAAAACAATTCATGCTAATTTTTCCATATTAAAAGACGAACATTAATCAACAGGTCTATTTACATATAACTGATATACTATATATAGCTCACTCTTGCTTGTTTTGAAAATATCATGCCTCCACAGAGAGCCCTACAGTACTTCTGTATTTATTTTATTTATGCAATTTTTAAAGCCACCCATCTGAATCTGATTGATTTTGGGCAGCAGAAAAACTTAGTTGCTTTACCCAATCTAATGTTTGCCAGGTATATTGGATTACAAAGTCTAGAATTTTCGGACAGCTTGTATTATGAGTACTGGGGATTTTGGGAGTTCTTCTCTAATAATCTGAGTGGCAGTCAGTTGGACAAGGCTGCTAGAAAGATCATCATAATAAAATAGTCATGCAGGATATGTATTATTTTAGAAAAAAATAATCTCCAAATAAAGTTACCACATAAGGGAAAGAAAACTACTCTTATTCCCACCATAGTCAGCTATTTGTTTATCGGCTCCTACCTCAATTAGAACTATTTTTTGCTGATTTCTCAAAATAGTTGACTTGAATTTTAAACTTGTAGAGTCAGCAACCTGATTGGATCGCCTTGAAATTGTATCAGTAACAGACTGGGTTAATCAACCGATTTAGAAAAATAAGAGAATCGAATCCAAGAAGAGCAAGACACTGGCCAGGGAGAAGAATGTAATGAATGCGGTAAGAAAAACAAAACAAAACTGAAGGGATAATGCATTTAGAATTTGCATATAAACTGGAATAAAGTGTTTTCTGGACATTTTAATTTAAAATATAGTCTCCATCTGATGTAATAAGCCATTGTTAAGTGGATTACATTGCTTTAATATACAGTAGGGACTATATATTAACTGAGAGAGTCAATATTGTGTATGAATCAGCAGTGACAGATTTGCAATTTCCCTAAACTGTAAGGTATTAGTGTGCTTGCTGAAGTTAGTGTACATATCTTTTTTTCTAATTTTTTTGAAAAACAGTCAAGAATTAGTAAAAAGTTATAAGATGCAATCCCTTGAGGAATTCCAATACTTAGAAGTTTGAAAGTTTTTAATTGCAAAAAGTTGTTTCGTGACTTCATACATATTAATGAATGCTTTGAAGTGGAAAAGACCAGTTCTTCTAGTTTAGTTAAAACACTATATTACCAAATGTGAATGAAATAAGGCAAACAAACCCTCTTTTAAAAATGTTTACTATCTAGAAAGCCCCATCACAAGAATGTGCAGAACACATTTGCATAGTCTCTAGTTGAAAAGAAATGTGGGCAAAGTCAAAGAAAACAAATATTGCAAACACACACATGCATACAGAAAATACAAGATAGCAGAAATGTAAAGATCAGCCTCAAGAAAAAAAATAATTCCATTTCAATGTTTGTTAAAATTCAGCATCTCTAAATAATATGTAGCATTATACATGCAAGTTAACATGCATTCATTTACTTATGAGAAACAAGACTGATTTAGATACTACAATATGTCTATCATGCGGTCATAATGAAGTAATTTAAAATTGTTTTTAATCGGGAAGATTCAAACAAGCATATGCAAAAATATGTTGTGTTGAAATAATAGGACTCAAAAGTGCTTAATTTGGGCTGCATCATGTCATCTGACCATGATCTCAGAATATATCCACAGAACCACTGCAAAAAGGGCAGAGGAGTAGAAGGACAAAATATAATTCAGTGTCTTCCTTTCATTTTTTAAAAGATAACCCTTAAAACAGGCAGGAATAGCTATGGTAAGTAGAAGAAGAACACACTACATACAAAACCATTTGTTTCTTTTGCTGACATTCTTCTATTTCTCTTATCTCTTGTCCAGGAGTCTGATATATGATAAACACATTTGACAGAGGTGTGAATTGTTCACTTGCAAAAGCCTCAAAATCAGGCTGAGAAATGCTCGAAATTAGGCTTTGGGCCATATATGGCCCTCTAGCTGTCCTATCTTTGCTTAAAATGGATTTTTCTCTGACATTCAAAAAATGACCATTTTCTGATGGAAAATCACTATTTCTAAATCAACACATCAGTCTTTAGTTGATGACCTTGACTTTGATTTTTCATGGAGCACCTTGAATGATCTGTTGTTCCCATTTGAAGCAGTACTCATTCTTGAAAGCACTATGTTCAGCCCGGCATGTCTGAATTAATCTTCTTAATAAATACTAAAGATCTATACGGAACCTTTGTGGCATCTTGAAAGGAATGAAAGGGTAAATATACAGTTATCAGGAAAAAGAAGCTATCACAGTTGGGGAGGCCTCTTTATGGTACAAAATCAAAGCTCCCAAAGCTCTTCCAGCAGTCAAGTCCTCTGGCCTCATTAATTAAAACCGCATGAGGTCCTCAGCCTGACTCAGTCTCTTTCTTGTGCAATGACAAGGGCAGGGAAGCAAATTATTAGAGACAGTCATCTATTCATTCCAGGTGGAAAGGAAGAAATACTGGTGAGAATGGCAGGGAACTGCATGGTATCATATAGTTCTCATTCTTGCAGGACTTCTGATGTCATTTGGAGTTCATATGTCTCAACACAGGAATAAGATTCAGAAGTCCCAATTACAGAGAAGCAAATAAAACAGAAGTATAACTCATTCCCATTTATTTACAGTGCTATTGTGAGATATGAATTTTATTTATTTGTCCTTTTAGTAAAATAAACACCTCTTGTAACATGGTTGTATGTCCCAAATTCTACTACGTATAAAGGAAAAACCTTTGCAATCAATGGCTAAGCTCATATCCTGTTTTCCCCAAAATTAGACATCCCCTGATAATAAGCCCTATCGAGCTTTTGAGTGCATGGCAATAAGGCCGAGCGCTTATTTCAGGGTTCAAAAAAAATATAAGACAGGGTCTTATTTTTGGGGAAACACAGCATCTTTAACCTTATTTTTTTATGATTCATACATCACTATTTTATGTTTTTTTTTTTATTTATTTTTTTTTTTATTGAAAAGGTTTTCAAATACAAATTTTTCCCCCTTTTTCCCCCCCCTCCCCCCCCTCCCTAACCCCCCCTCCCCACCCTTCCCCCCCTGTGACTTCTTCGTAACAAAAAAAAACCCTAATTCATAACAGATTACTTACTCCCTCCTCAAAATACTGACCTTTACTTACTAAGAGTATTATAAATCCCCCTTTATCCATACATTTCAGAAAAGAAGAAGAGAAAAAAAAAAACAAAAAAAAACAAACACATTATACTATAACTATTATAAAATAACTCTAATTTAGCATAATAGTGTTTTATATCTATGCATTATTGCAACAATTCAAAACCACCTTCCACTTTAAAACTATACAATAAGTCCTACTTTAATAACATTTCAAAGCGGGCTCCCCATAAAATCTAATTTAACATTTATTCCACTCTATCCATTTCCTCCACTCCCCTAAATGTATCACTTAAAAATCCCTTTTCTTAAACTAATCAATCTGTAGCTAGCTTATTCACCCACTGTCTTACAAATTTACCATACACAACAATTCTTGATATCTTTAATTCACTGCCCACACTACTTAAAAATATATATATATATATATTCCATTATATCTAAATAAAAAAAGAAAAGACAATAACTTTAAATTTATAGTCCATATAATATCTTCTTGAAGTCTTTCCACTGGATTGTTAAAACCAACATCCATAATAGGGTGACATAGCTTGCGGATGCAACAGTTTATTCAAGATCTCCAATCATATCTGCCCCCATCAGTAGTAAACATCTTCTTATATATATAAAAGTAAAAACAACCACCCGAGTGACATTATAATTGTATTCCATATAATAATAATTGTGGGTTTCATCAGGATTATTAATTTCCATCATCGTATTGGGTAACAACCCGATCTTCTGCATGTCCCAATGTGATTCTCTTGCCTTATAATTCAAGATAATTATAATATATTTATCAACACAAAAAGAAGTTTCAAAGTAGATAATTCAAAACCATCAATTTGAGGCTCTTTCCATGTCCCAAAATTACGGCAATGCAGAGATCTGCCACTATCCTCAGGATGATATTAACCAATATGTCGCCTCCTCTATGTTTTCACATAATCATTCATATTTTAAAATCACTGGCTTCACTGTTGCTTGGGTTAGAAATTTCTATTTTTGTACAACCTATTTCTTTTTTTGTTTTCTTTTTGTGGGTTTGACCTCCATCCTAATTTTTTGTGTCTCGCATTTCTTTTTTATCCCTTGTATATCCTCTAATTGGTTTCCATGCTTGTCCTTGCCTTGATAAGTCATCACATTAAAATCAGATGGCACTTCTCTCAAATTTGTAGATAATCCAGCTGGGGTATCCGATAAATCCAAAGGCAATTTATCTGGTACAGTCTCTGTCTTTAGTTCCAGCTCCTTCTGCTTATCCTGTATTATATCTGAAGACGTTAAATTCATTTTCAACCTATTTTGATAAAATTCTTCCGCCCTTTCAACAGTATTTAACTGGTATCTTTCTCCTTGATATCTCAATATAATACCAACTGGGACGTCCCACCGGAATTGAATATTTCTCCTTTTTAACTCAGACACCAGAAAGCCAAATTTCTTCCTTTCCATTAGTATCTTAGGTGGGAGTTCCTTGTAAATCCAAATCTTTCTTCCATACAATTGCAAATTAGAATTGAAGGAATTTTGCACAATTTTATTCCTAATTTCTTTATCTGAAAAATAGATTACCACATCTCTAGGCAATTGCCTTTGCTTGGCAGTCCAGGAGTTTATTCGATAAGCTCTATCAATCCTACAAAACACTTCCTCAGGTTGAATCTTTAAAATCCCAGCTAGAAATTCAGAAGATATTTTCCTTAAGTCATCTCTGTTATTTTCCTGCAAACCTCTAAGTCTTATTGCATATTCTGTGAAATTATATTGTATCTTTAGAACCTCTTTTTGAATCCTCTGTTCCAGATATTCTACATTACCAGACTTTTGGTCAGCATCCATTTTAAATTTTTCTTCTGAACTATAATCCTGAATATTTAACAAATCATTTTCAATTTTTTGAATTCTATTGTCCAATTTATCTTGAATTTCATCCATTTTTGACTCTAGTAAATTAGTATTTGTATCCAACCGAATCATGAATTCTGACAATTTTAAAATTTTTTGCTGCAAAAAGTCAAACTTGGATTTCACCAATTCCTTAGTTTCCTGCTTAAATTTTTCAAGTTGCTGATTCACAATCTCATCCCTTCTTTCAATCTCCTCTAAGAGAAATTCTATTATATTAAAATCAGGTTTCTGGGACTGAAGAGTTAAAACTTGTTGCTTTAAATTCTTAGTGGGGGAATCCCCCCCACCTATTTGTTTGTCTGACTTCACAAGCCTCAGTGCCATGTTTCCGCCTAAGCAGGCTTTGTTAGAAGAAGAAAAAAAAACAACAAGACAAAAGACTTCCAGCCAGCAACACTCAAGCCTCCAGGGAAAAAAGAGAAAAACAAAAACAGGAGCGGAGTTTTGTCTACAAATGTAGCCAGTGGTATTTATTCCGCTACATTGTAATAATAAAAAACGGAAGAACTTTCCCTCTCAAACTCTTCTCCAGCCGCGGCAGACGCCATTTTAAAAAGAAACTTTTTTCCTCTTTCTCTTCCTCTATTCTCTTAAGTAATTTTTAAAAGATAAGTAAAATACTTGCGCTTCAGTATTACAGGTCC